CGTATAAAGAAGTTTAATATATTTTAGGAATGATTTTTATTTGTAAAATTACAATGCAGTCTCTTTTTGTTCACAAAGTTATGATATTAAACCTCAAGGGTGGTGCATGATTAGTTTGACCTTAACTCCAAAGGTCAAAAATACTATGAGGTCCCAGATTCAAATCCAAGGAGGAATAAAAATCCCCTTGTGGTCACGAAGGTTCAAATGTGTTGATTGTGATTAATGAACTATGATTATCTTTCATAAATATCTCAACCATAATAAATTAAAATCTTCATCATTTTTTTATAAATATCTCAGTTATTTGGTTTATAACAGTTAAATTGTTTACAAATGATTTGTATTCTAACTCTTAATTGCATCAAATATATAATATATCCCTTAAAATTAAGCTTTTAAAAGTATGTTTTTGGAAATACTAGAAGGGTATTCGCGCAATGCAGCGAGATACATCTTGATTTTAATGTTTCGTTTTATTCTGTCCCCTGTCGATGTCATAATACGGTTTATGTGGTTTTGAGAAAAAAAATAATGTTTTTATTTTTGAATAAAATATAAATTTGAAGATATCTTAAAAAAACTTAAAAAATATATCGATATTAGTATCAAATTAACTATTTAGAAGTTTTTGTTTTGTTGTGTAATTTATTTAATTCATTTTTTAATTATAATAAAATTTAGGTTTAATAACGAAACGATTTATTTTTGATTTAATAATATAATTTTTTATAAAGATAATAATAAAGTATTATGTTATAACACAGTGATTATCATAATTATATTTTAGATTTTTTATATTTAAAATGAAATGTTTATCCAATATTTGATTATGTTTATCTGTAACTAGTTATACAGATTCAAGCATGAAACTTTAATAAGTTGTACTTATTCATCATTTACGTGTAATCTTGAATTTTAAGTAATATGCATCAATAAACAATATTTCATGCATAAAAAATAGTTTTTAAGAGTTTTTGTCAAATATTTCATAATATAGTATAGATATAGATATAGATGAACGGAAAAGAAAGAAAAAAGCATTTACATTTCTACTTTGATGCAACTTTCTATGTTTTTCTAAAAGACAAAAGCTACATAATTGAGGGACTGTTTTTGTAAATATTTAAATATCTGATAGATAATGCGTAAAAGATTCCAAGCAAGTCTCCGAAAGAAACATGGAAGTTTGAGAGTATTTTTCCTAATCAAATCAAATCAAAATCCATAAATCTGTTTGTTTACTTGTACATCAACACAATCATTATACGTTCATCTCAATCTTTCTCCTCCTTCCTGCTTGGATGGACGCTAAAGCTTCCGCCTTTCTCAATCGCGACCCACTTCCCAATTCCGCAAACACCTTAAAAAACCCTAATTCTTTCACACAAACCCTAAAGATTTGATCTCTTCCAACATGTTTTCTTGGAACTTCGCCAAGTCGGCGGAGGCCGTCTTCTCTCGGTTGGCCGTAAAGAAGATTTGCAAGTTCTTGTTGAAGAAGAAATTGGGGCAACTTATTCTTGGCGACATCGATCTTAATCAGCTTGATGTTCAGCTTAGCAACGGCACAATTCAGCTATCTGATTTGGCACTTAACGTCGACTTTATAAATCAGAAGGTCTGATTCCTCTTTGTTTTACGTTTTTTTTTTTTTTTAATTCTAATTCGTATTATTGTGTTCAAGAAGTAGAGTTTAAACTGATATTCAAGGGTAATTGGAAGTTTGTTGGTAGTTTATCAATCATATATCCATTAGTAAATAATTTATTATATCTAATAAGAGCGTTAGAGTTGGATTGTGATAAGAGATTGATAGGACATATGTTTAATCTTTGAGCTGTTAATGTTGGAATTTAAATTACGTTGGTTGTTTATGATTTGAATAGACTTGAAGAAGGGTGAGCGGCATGGAGAAAATATGAACCATAAATTAAAGTAACATGTGAGCCAATCTCCTGAATAAATTATGAACCATGAATTAAACAACATGCCATATTTCATATATTGCATTCAACGTTAACCGGCTGGAAAATTGTCAATATAGTGATAAACAGGAGGTCCAAAATGTAGCTGTTCACTGCCCCAACTGCCAAGGACCTAAAGGAACACAGGAACATGAATTAACTCTGTTACACATAATCATCTTCTTTGTACTAAATGTTATATCTTATTCCTTGCCATCCCATTCAATTGTTTAAACATGATGTTCTCCATCATCACCACCAATTGCTATTTGTACCTTATTCCCCTAGCACTTATGCTGAGCTCTTGTCTTGTGTGAAAATTGGCCATCTTGTCTCAACTGTAGGACAAAATTGCCAAGTACCTAATCATACAACCTAAAACAAACCAAAAGCGCAAATCCTATTATAGCCAAATGTAGACTCAGAAGCAATAAGTACATATAACCATTCTGTAACGTCAACTGGTCCATGTGGAGAGCCTTTTGAAAATGATGCAAAGTGGCTGGCCTTTTCACTGGCTGTGTCACTGGATATGCAACATATTCTTTATGCATCTTTTCGTGTCATGTGTTTTGTCTTGATGCATGATTTAATAGTCAAAATGGTTTCTGATTCAATATAGCTGTAGCTGCAGTAACGACTGTTGTAAAATGTTAGTGTTGTACAATGTTTAGTGTGTCATACTTACACGTATACCGGTTTACGCCTGTGTTTTCAGTTTGGCGAAGCAGCTATTTTGGTTTTGAAAGAAGGATCCATTGGTTCTCTAACAGTTAAACTTCCATGGAAGGGTAGAAATTGTGAAGTCGAGGTGGAAGAACTTGAGATTGTACTTGCCCCTGGTGGGAAGAGAAGTTCTCAAGTTGGTAATGAAGCTTCTACTTCAGGTCAAGATGGTAATAGCTATAGCAGTCATGACTTGGTGACACCCAAATGTGAAGTGGTTGACAGTACCACAACTGCTTCTGTGGATATTCATGAAGGAGTTAAAACAATTGCTAAGATGGTTAAATGGTTGCTTACAAGCTTTCATGTGAAAATTAAAAAACTAATTGTTGCTCTGGATCTGCCCTTAGAAGACCCGGAGGAAAAAGGGCATTGCAAGACCTTGGTTTTGCGGTTTGGTGAAGTGGAATGTGGAACAGGAATTTCTGGAGATGTCAACCTTGATTGTCAGGGGACAGTTGACGATTTTCTTGGGCTAAGCCGACTAACAAATTTTGTGAAATTTGATGGAGCAGTACTTGAGTTTCTTCGGCTAGATGGTAATTGCAATGAATCAGCATTTCCATGTGTGCCAGGAGAAACTTTGGGTGAACAGTTTTCAGGATGTTCATCAAGTGCTACAACCCCAGTCCTTACAGGAGAAAAAGGGGGATTTTCAGGGACCATTAAATTAAGTATACCATGGAATAATGGTTCCTTAGATATCCGCAAACTGGATGCTGATGTTTATGTTGATCCTCTAGAATTAAGATTACAGCCTAGTTCATTGAAAAGCTTAATGTATTTTGTGCATGTTTTTGAGGAACTGGACAAAGATCACAAGAGTTTTATGCATAGCAAAGCAACGGAATCTGTATACTACAATGCATCATCCCATGGTTATTCATCAACCTCGGGTTCTTTTGAGTTTTCTTCAGATAAACTCTCTCAGAAACCTGAAACCTTTGTTGAATCATATTCTTCAATCGGAAAAGATACAGCTTTGGATGCCTTGCTGCGAGGGTCACATCTAATATCAGACTGGATGACTTCCCCCATCAGCAGTAACCAGGACAAAAAAACTGAAGAATCAGATTTTGGGGCCAGGTTGATATATGCTTTCATCTTGATATTTCTTTTCCTGGCAAAAGTATTTTCTAATTGCCATGTGTGGTCTTTATGTGCTAAAACCTTATACACTCAAGTCTCTTAATATATCCATGCATTCACACACATATGTAATATATATACATATATATGGAGTCGGGTTCGTACGAGAATGATACGTATTTAAGAAAATAAGAGAATTAATGTGGACCATACATTTCATTAAACAAGACCTTAAATAATTAATTCTAAAAATAAGTAAAGAAGGGCATAAAGGTAATTTAGTTATATATAAGTTATTTAAGGCATGCATTTAAGATTCTATTTTTACCATATTTATGATTTTAATATGATTTAGTTTTTTTAAATATTTTATATTTAATACATTTAAATTAAGCATATTTAATTTTCATTTAGAGAATCATTTTTTTATTTAAAGCAATATTTATAAAGAATCACAACTTTCGCTAAAATCACATGTGATTCACAATTAATTGATATTTTTTCAAAATGTTTTCCTAATCATATGCGAGTTAAAGCTTGAAAAACAGTGATTCAAATTAAACCTTGAAGAAAAAAAATAATGAAAACAGAATCATATGTGATGTGTAGCAAAACACATTTAAAATGTATAAGATCACATGTAATTCAAAACATAATTCATAATTTACACATATCATGTGTAATGTTGTAGATAATCAATATCACATATGATACATTGACGAAACTTGGTGATTCTTCTTTTTGAAAAAAAAGAGTCGATTAATTGTGGATATCACATATTATGTTTGATGAAAATTGTAAAAAATTCTTAAATAAACTATTTCAATAAAAATAAATATTTTAAATGAAAAACTAAATCACACTTATTTTAATTGTTGTGAAAAATAAAAAATAAAAAAATAAAAAATTAATCATGCTTGAATCACAAAGCTATAAATAATCATGAATAAATACGTTATTAAATGTATTAAATGACCTTTATAGAAATAAATGAATTTCCATATATAATTTGTATACACTAAATGACACATATGCCTTTTTGGATGATTTTTTAGAAGTTCTATTTAAGGCATAATTCAAATAAATGATTGGTCCAGAATTATTCTCTTATTTCCTTAAATACGTGTCATTCTCGTATGAACCTCCCTCTCTCTCTCTATATATATATATATATGTATATATAAGTATATTCTTTGGAGTCATAGTTGTACTGAGCTACACCAATACTGCATTTTTTCTGCTGTTCATGACCCCCTTGTCACATGGATTCTTCTGTATTTGGAATTCCTTAGCTGCATCATGATCTGCTATTCATAGTTGAAGGCACTTGTGGCATGAGCAGTTAACGGAACATATATGACACTATGTCCTTGATGCTTGTAGAAGATAGAACTGAACTATGCCTGATTGTGGCAGAGAAGGGTTGTGTTATCAATATTAGTAATTGGACTACATCTAGGATTAATAGTAATGTATTTGACCACCTCTCTATTATATATGCCTCCTAGTGACTGATCTTGTCAATGGCTTTATCTCGCCTACATGCATCTGATTGAAACTGTATTGTAGTATGTAAGTTCTTTTAGTTTTCCGCATGACATCTTTAAGAACAGAGTGATATTATTTACTTTGGCTTTGCTACCTTTCTTCTTTTGAACAAGCAACATTAAGTTTTTATGAAGTTGGATGGATTTACCTCTTGTTGTTATGATGTCAATGCAAGGGAATTTTCCAGAGTTAATCATCTGTTGCTTGTCCTTATTGGAGCTCCTAAATAGGATCTGTTTGGCATGGAGAATGTGACTACCAAGTCAAAAACCAATCTCACTACAACATGATTATATATGATAGCTGTAACTTGTGCTAATGTATATCTGCTCCATTTTTGGCAGCGTGGATCAATTCTTTGAATGCTTTGATGAATTGAGAAGTTCACAATCTGCATTGGGGAACAGTGGGATGTGGAACTGGACATGTTCCGTGTTCAGTGCGATAACTGCTGCATCCAACCTTGCTTCTGGATCTCTTCATATCCCCTCTGGTATGTGCTTGATGCTTCACCAATTATGTGATATCTAAAAGATGTGCTAATTCAACAATCCCATAAAAAAATGGAACTGTAAAATAAAGAAGTTCGTCCCATAATTTAGACAAAACTAGTGAGTTCTAATTTCTGTTCATAAACAAGGTTGCTACATAGCATTCTTTTGTATATATTATTCTTGTAATAGGCATCGGTTAGGAGGATGGAGACTGTCACGGTTGAGAAGGAGAGGAGGTGAGGCAGACCGAGGAAGGACGTGGGATGAGCAGCTCAGGTTGGACATGGAGGCATTAGTACTTTCCGAGGGCATGATCTTAGATAGGAGTTCTTGGTGGTGGCTGATTAGGGGAGTTGATTACATGTTGAGTGGGTTGGGCGGATGGTTGAGTGTCTTTAGATAGGTTGAATCAGAGATAATGATAGTAGTTCAGTAAACAATGGTTGGCATCAGTATGGTAGTCGGTGATACCGTATAATCACGACTGATAAGCATTTCTATCTGTGAGGCTGGGGGTCAAGTCTTGCAAGAGACATGTATGTGTTTATTGTGTGGGTTTATCAATTGATGTGGGAAAAAGAAAATCTTTTGTAACTGTAGAATCTGGAAGGAGTTCTTGGGGATGCAGGACTAGGGTAGTAGATTTGAGGTAGGGACCTGTAGCTGGAGTGGGTTGGAAGATGGGAGTTTGGGAGCTCTGAGGGTCGGACGGGGGAGGTTTAGGAAACTGTTAGTTAGGGTATCAGAGGCCTGCGTCAGATGGAGGGTGTGTGTGTGTTTTCGTACCATTTATATGTTCTCTTTGTCCTTTTTCCCTTCTTTTTCTGCTGCCTAATAAGTTCTAGTCTTTACTATTCTTCTTGTCCTTGTATTTTTCTTTTTGCTCACACTTTTGCACAAGGCGGGGGTCGTTATGGAAAAACCGCTTTAGAAAAACCGCTTTACCCTTTCAGGTAGAAGTCAGGACTGCGTATATCCCACCCATCCAAGACGCTGCTTTCGAGTGGGAAATACTAGGTTGAGTTTGGTATGATTTAATCTATGTAGAAACAGAATCAATTGTATGAATGTAAAAAACGTGTTGGTTTGAACATTGCTTTGTCACTGCTTTGTTCATGCATGAGAACCTATCAGTTGAGAGCTTACTGATTACCATGGTCACATTAGGTTGGGCAAGTACCTCTAGTGACCATTTAGGGGAGGGCAGGATGGTTTGGCCCTTTTCTTCTTACCATGGTCATTTATGTGATTTCTGGTGAGGAAATTATTGCATGAGTTTTGCTCTACCCTTTCTTATTTGTTGGGCCGGTTGTGGGGACATAATCCCTTCAAATTCTGGTTCCAGCCCGTCATGCTCGACCCCGTGTACGAAAGATTTCTTCGAAATTAAAGCAAAGTCTTGGCTCGCTCTCATTGGGAGGCTGTTCAACTAGACTGACGAAGTTGAGTATTGAGCAGTTTGCAAAGGGGACCCTAGTTTAAGGAGAGGAAAGCTCAATGCGCCCCACTCCTAGATCTTCACGGCACCTCCTCCACCATAGTGTGAGCTGGGAGCAGCTCCGAACAGCGAGGCCTAAGATAGGGCGTTCATCAAGCCTTCTTTAAGTCGGAGTGTAGCGAAGTGATTCTCCTAAGAGTGAAAGTGGAASAAGAGCTGTCGGGATAGTTGCCTGCATCTCCTTAACAGTAGAGAGAGCTATTTCTCACAAGTGAGATGTCATCCTGGTTCTTGTGCCTTGTCATTCCAAGTTTCCAACCAAGTCTCATATTAGGTATTGAATGAAGCACTTCAATATTTTGACTTGGAAACATACTATCACTATTTGTCCTCTCACAATCAAAACAAGGATTGATCTTCGAAATCAAACTGAACACAGTTATTGAAAACCCCAGCTTGTGACCATCATCTTTCAGAGTCTTATGATCTTATCATATATCACCACCACCATATTTCTTTTAGCATCCACCAATAAACATCAAACTTTTAGGTTGCCACTTCACTGGAACTGGAACAGACCATGCTTGGTGCATAAAAGAATATACATCGATGATCACCATCAACATTTAACAGTACCCTTCGAACATGAAGTATCAAGTCTTGCTCTTTTTGTTATATGTACTATGAAGCTTCAAACTGATAATTTGCAAGTCAGCCATTCATTAATTTTATTAGAATTCTGGATCAAGTTTGGGTTCATAAATGATAAATGGGCCTGCACTTGTCCTTGGTCGACTCCTGTTTCATGTGGCCAAATTCATTAACACTTGTTTTGACTCTATCATAGTTGAAAATTGTTGCTGTTTTATCCTTATCTTTTTGAGTAAGTATATATATATTTGTGATTCATTTTCGCCTTGTCATGCAGAGCAGAAACATGTCGAAACCAGTCTCAAGGCAAGGATCACACAGATTGTAGTCCTGTTTTCCTTTGTGGATGAAGACCAGAAGCCTTCTTGTGCTGCAAGAGGCTGTAAGATAGACAACACTTCATTAATCCACTATATAAATGCAGATTTTCATGAGATGCAGCTTGTCTTGCAGGTAATGGTTGTGCATATAGGCTTTTATTTTCAGATCAAAATTTTCTTCAAACTTTGCCACATCACAATCTTGCGTCCATACTGAGTTTAAATTTTGTAAGGTCAACAGGTCTGTCCTCGAGATTCTAATTTTGAAGCAACAGTCGAGCATATTGAGGTAGCTGATCATTTCAGCAATGCATCTGATGCTGCTTTGCATCGTCAAAAGGAAAATGTGAATGTTCAGGGTTTATTTATCAGAAATAAGCAAGCTGCAGTTGAAGGTGCTTGTCCTCTCTCGGGTTTGCTGGGTCAAGGTGCTGTATGGGATAATACCACGTCAAATGTCTCATCTAATATGCATTCTAGCTCCCATTCAAGATATCAGAGAGGTATCTACAGGGATGACGTGGTGAAGGTCTTGCTACTCAGAACTTCTGGCGTCACTCGATGCCAGTATGTTGCACCTTCTGTTTCCCCAGATATCAAGTCAGGGCTTAAATCTTTTTCAGTAAAGCTGCCACCATTGGTTTTCTGGGTAAACTTTAATCTGATAACCACAGTGTTGAATCTTGTTAAAGGAATCGAGAACTCCCTTCCAATATCTGGCAGAAGGGACCTTTCTGCTTCTGTGGATGGTAATAGCAGGTCATTGTCTCAAGGGGACATTGGAAAGGGTTCATGTCCACAATTTATGACTTCACCTAAAGAAACTCTAAGAGGCAATATTTCTCTTCTGGATGCACGAATAGTACTATGTTTTCCATGTCAGAAGAGTGAAGGTTGTAAGGGTTACTTTTCCTGGAATGAGTTTATTGTTGTTGATCTGTCTTCTCCATTGGCTCTAAGAGAGGGGAAGGTTCAAAACAGTCATCCTTCTTCAGTTCCAGTTCCCAGGGAGAGGTTTCGTGTGACACCCTCACACTCCTTGCATTTGAGCATGGGAAATATTGCAGTCTACTTTGTTTCATCAGCTTCTAGAGATGGCACCAACAACTGTAGAATGCAGAAGCTCAAATTTTGTGCTGAGAGAGTTTTGTCTGTATCTGATAAAGCAGGGCATCCATCTGTAATCAGTATGCTATGGCAAGAAAATGCTGTTACTGGTCCTTGGATAACAAAGAGAGCCAAGGTTCTTGCTACTTCAGATGGCACCACTAGTAGGAATAAATCCACAGGGAAAGGCCATGGGCTTGCCTTTGTAACTACCACTAAGGATACGGAAGACTTCAGTTCTCAGACACAAGATGAAATAATTTGGAGCTCTTCATTTTTCCTGCATGCACATCTATCTCCTATAACCATCAATGTGGACAGTTGTTTATATCAAAACCTACATGATCTTTTGCATCAAGTGATTGATTGCTTCTCAAGCATAGCCTCTGATCCAGTTGCCACTACGGAAAAACATTCACCATCTCAATCATCAATCTTTGTGGAATGTGATCTTGTGGAGATTTCTGTCAGCGTAGCTGCAATAGAGGACATCAAAGGCCCAACTCAGAATGAACTTCCAGGCTCTTGGTGTAATTTGAAACTGAAGGTTGGCAAGTTTGAGTTGCTAATTGTATCTAATACAGGGGGAATTTTGGGTGCCAACTTCCTCTGGTTGGCCCATGGTGAGGGAGATCTGCGAGGTTCCACTTCAGGAGTTCCTGATAGAGAGTTTATTCTTATCTCATGTGACAACTCTACCAGGGGACGTGGGAATGGTGAAGGTTCAAATATATTGTCTTCTAGGTTTCCAGGGTCTGATATCATACACATGTGGGATCCAGATAGTTCTGTGAGCCAAGTATCTATAAATATTAGATGTGCTACTATTGTTGCTGTAGGTGGTCGTTTGGATTGGTTTGAAACTATCACATCGTTCTTCAGTCGGGCTTCAAGTGACCAAGTAGGTGATAGTTTTCCGGAGAAAGAAGATGTTCGGAACGATACCAGTCGTGGGTCTTCTTTTGTTCTAAACTTGATTGATATTGGTCTGAGTTATGAACCATATTCAAGTAACATGGTAGCTCAAGTAGATTCTTGTCTAGAATCTAGTTTTGTCTATGATGATGGTAAAAAGAGTGAACAATGTGTTGCTGGTCTTTTAGCAGCATCTAATTTGAAACTCTCAAATGTTTCAGTGGCTACATCTGTCGAGATGGATTATGAAATCAAAGCCCATGATGTAGGTCTACTGCTCTGTGAAGTATCCGGGCTCAAGAATCTCGGTGGATCTTACAATGAGCAAAATCTTCAGAAGAGTGGCTATGTAAAAGTTGCTGAAGGAACACACATTGAAGCGGTTTTAAGAACGAATTGTAAGAACGGCCATGCATGGGAAGTAGAATGTTCCGAGTCCCACATTGTTCTGGATGCATGCCAGGATTCTGCCTCTGGACTTGTTCGTTTTGCTGCTCAAATCCAACGGATTTTTGCCCCTGATGTTGAAGAATCGATTGTGCATTTGCAGACTAGGTGGGATAACGTCCAGTTGGCACAAGAGAGTTGCAAAAGCAGAAGCTCAAATAACCATTCTACTTCATCAAGTTCTCAGGTGCATGGTTTAAGTTCTGACACAAAGGGGGAATCTTATACAATCAACTTGATGGATGAAATATCTGAAGGAGCGTTTAACTTGGATGGAGGCAGTGATGGTCATCTTGAAGCACATGCCTTTAGCACTGACGACCATGAATGTGGGTCGCACAAGCGATCTGTTAAAGTGCCAGTTCCAGTATATGGATTGGAAGATAATGGAACCTGGCCCTCACATGCTAGCCTTCCAGAGTTCATAGAAGGGTACTTCTTATCTGACTTGCGCCCGTTATCTGAACCATCTTTGAACAACCAATTGCAGAAAGAGAGTCTCAGCGGAAAATCTACAACTCTAAAGGAGTCTGATGCTCAAGTCGGAAGTGGATGGTATGGGGATTCACTGTTAAGGATTGTTGAAGACCATGTTTTGGATATTGGGGAAATAACCAATTCCAAACAACTTATCGAAAGCGAGGCTTCTGTCACACAGACTGCGAATGTAGGGTGCAGAAAAGTTAAGGGTCGTGTGCTTCTGAAAAATATCGATGTGAGGTGGACGCTCTATGCTGGTTCTGACTGGCAATATACAAAGGGAAATGGTCAGCATGTGAGTACTGGCGCAAGTGATAAAGATGCTTGTTTAGAGTTTGCACTGTCGAAGATGGGCCTTCAATGTGACATATACCCTGATGGTGAAATATGTATTTCTAAGCTTTCGCTCTCGGTTGAGGATTTTTCTCTTAATGATGTCAGCAAGGGTGCACCATGGAGAAAGGTACTTTTCAGCCAGCGGAAAGTTATCTGGCTTATATACGTCTACTGTGTTTGAGAACTGATATTTTTCTTAAAATCTTCTTGTGATAGGTTCTCGGTTGTTATCAGTCAAAAGATTGTCCACGAGAATCCCGTTCTAGAGCATTGAAGGTAGATCTAGAATCCGTTAGACCACATCCTTCAACTCCTCTTGAGGAGTATCGGTAAGTTTTAGAGTTCTATTTGTTTCGTTGGTATTGTAATAATAACTGTTGTATTTTAAGCTCAATAACAATCCACTTGTTTTCTAGTACCTTAGCTATTTTTCTTATTGCTCTCTATCTTCTAACATCTGCTGTTTCAGGTTACAAGTTGCGTTGCTTCCTATGCGTTTGCATCTTCACCAAAGGCAACTTGAATTCCTAATCAGCTTCTTTGGTGGAAAGAGCTCATCTACTGATAATCATCTTCAGGATACGGGTGAATTGGATACGCCACAGAGGAATGCCATCGACTTAGGAAGCCATAGCATAACAGAGGAGGCATTACTTCCCTATTTCCAGGCAAGTATATCTCTATATGTTTCGACAAAGTTAGTTTAAGTAATTTCTGAACAATTTAATCGCCACATGTGACTTGTGCCGGAAAAAGCCTATCACTTTCACATTGAGGAATTTAATATACAGCACAATGAAATTCTCTCATGTCAATGTGATTAAATTGCTGCTTAGTAATTTTTTTCCATTGGTTGTTTTTAACCAGTTTTCAGTGTTCATTAGCCTGAAAGTTCTATCTTATTGGCTGGTTTTATTGCTTATATTTCTCATGCTTGGCTGTTGGCTATTTTTGTTTCAGAAGTTTAGCATATCACCTTTTGTTGTTCGGATAGACTACATTCCTTCTCGTGTTGACTTAGCTGCATTAGGGCACGGGAAATATGTGGAACTTGTTAATCTATTTCAGTGGAAGGTAATATTCTTGATTTCTATCATCTAGTTTAAAAGTTACCTGACAGATATATGGCTTCCTGTCCCTTTAATTTTTCTTACTCAGAAATAGATACAAATAATTATTTCCTGTACGGATTTTTAAGTTAATAATAGTTAGGGCCTGTTTGTCAGCAGCTTAATGAGCTTAATGAGACTCACATCTTATTCGGTCAGGCGTCAGCTATACATAGGTCTGTAAACGAACCGAACGAACACGAACGGAGGCTTGTTCATGTTCGTTCGTTTAACTTAACGGAACAAACGAACAAACACGAACGGTAAACGAACGAAAATCTTTGTGTTCGTGTTCGTTCGTTTAGAAATCAGGTATGTTCGTGTTCGTTTATGTTCGTTCATTAACATGCTAAACGAACGTAAACGAACGAACATAAACGAACGGACTAAACGAACATAAACGAACGGGCTAAACGAACATAAACGAATATTATTTGAATTCAAAGTATATAATCAAAAGATTATATATTAAATTCAATATATAAACGAACATAAACGAACGAATATAAACGAACGTAAACGAACGGTAAATGAACGAACGTTCACGAACATAAATGAACGAACGTAAACGAACGGTAAATAAACGAACGGTAAATGAACGAACGTTCACGAACATAAATGAACGAACGAGACTCTTGTTCATGTTCGTTCGTTTAACTAAACGAACAAAAAATTTTGTTCATGTTCGTTCATTTATTAAATAAACGAACTTCCCGCCGAACGGTTCACGAACGGTTCGCTGAACATTCGGTTCGTTTACAGCCCTAGCTATACATGATGTTTGATAGTGGCTTAATGATATAGAAAGTGGCATATTCAATAAGCTTCTAGGGGGAGCTTTATGCAGAAAGCCAAAAAAATTTCCCAAACCTGCCCCTCCAATTAAAAGAAATGCTCTACTTGATGAAAAGTCTTCCCAAACAAAAACCTTCCCGATCTATACAGACAGATTAATCCACACAGACATCTTTATCCATACAAGACTTGATGGAAAACCAACCAAACATCCCCTTTAGTCTTGTCATATTATATGCATATTTCTATATTTACGAGTTAACTCCATCTATATTCTTATTTGACATGCATAAATCTGTAAAAATTGCGTTAGTATTATACAACTGATTTAAACGATTAGCCATTTCATACTTCCTTTTCAGGGGGTCGAGTTACAACTGAAACATGTTCAAGCTGTTGGTGTTTATGGTTGGGGTAATGTAGGTGAGACAATAGTTGGCGAGTGGTTGGAAGATATTTCTCAGAATCAGGTTTGCGTCAGCATTACTTGTTTATTATGGTTATACATATATGCACCTATAGTATGGCAGATACATGAATGCATCTTTGTACGTTTTACAGATCCATAAACTATTGAAAGGTCTTCCTCCTGTTCGGTCATTGGTCGCCGTTGGTTCTAGTGCGGCAAAGTTAGTTTCTCTACCTGTGAAGAGCTACAAGAAAGATCGTAGAATAGTCAAGGGAATGCAAAGAGGTAATGAATGCATGAAAGCAAATGTTATTTTGTTTATTCAATATTTTTCTGTGAACACCAAATCATCTAGAAGCAAGTGATGTCAAATATCTCGGTGCCGGAAAGTTGAAGATATTATTATTTTTCAATATCTAAATTTTTGAGCCACCTTCATTTGCAAGCAATTTTGTCTTGGTTTGATATTATTACTAGCCATGGTGCAGTATAGTACCGATTGTGCATAGGATACATATCTCTTAATGGTGCTATTCATTTACACCATCTATCTTCATTCTCCATTTCATGGGTCCCATCTCAATCCCTGCACATCTAGTTAAACGCATAGTTTTAGTTTCAGTTTTTGCCAAAAGGAACTTAAATAAGACAATCTATACGTTTGTAGACAGAAATTTATTCTGGTGTTATTTTGGTCATAATGTCCATCAGGTACAATTGCATTCTTGAGGAGTGTCTCACTTGAGGCTATTGGACTTGGAGCACATTTGGCGGCAGGGGCACATGCCATCCTCCTCCAAGCAGAAGACATAATTTCAACCAGTCCTCCAACCTCTGTGCCAAGGCCTATACAAAGCAGAGGGAATCCTAATGTAAGATCTGGTCAGCCCAAAGATGCTAGGCAAGGAATACAACAGGTACTCAATCAACGTTTCTTTCAAATTCTGCATTGCACAACCTTACACAGTGAACTATAAAGAATAACTAGTGTTCATAACATATTTGGGAGTTTTCTGATGTGTGCCTAAAAGGAGATAATAAAAACAACCAAGTATGAGAGAACTTGAGAAGCAATAGAGAAGTTAGAATAATCTGGATAGCAGAACAGAGATGGAGCATATCTTCGTACTCGGAATAGCATTACAAGTTGCTTTTTGTAGTCAGATAAATGCTATCTTTTTTTACTTTTCAGAAGTAGCAAGTGTTAAATTAAGAAAAATAGGAAAAAAAATTGAATCATGGAGTCATCATCAATGACATCTCTTACTGTATGAATTATCTGGATCCAACCAAAGGGCCATTGGCTTAGCAGTACCCGGTAACCCACCTTCTTGGAGGTCAGGGGTTCAAGTCTCACCGAAGGTGATAAGTTTGTGCGAGTTTAAATTGCCGTATATGAATATGATATACTTAAAAAATGAATTGATCAACCATGTAAAATTTTGGAAACTCTAATCAGCAATGCCTCTGATAGGAGTTCCTGGAGACGCAAGATTAGGGTAGGAGACCAGGGATGGGGATCTGTAGCTAGCGTAGATAGGAGGAAGGGATATTGAGAGAGAGAGAAGTGAGCAGGTAGTTAGGCCTCCAGGTTTTAAGTTTGACCAAGCGTGTGTAGCTCTTCTTACCTTGGTTATGTTTTCTTGTACATGCTTCTGTTTGATTGATTGTATGTTTTTTTATTACTTCTGACTCTTTTTTTCAAAATTTAGACTACTTTTGAATGTTCTTATTTTCTATTTCCACCACACTTTGCACCAAGCTAGGTGTCTTCCCAGAAACAGCCCGCTTTACTTACTGGACTAGAGGTCAGGTTTGCATACATTCCCGACCCCACCTTCGGGTAGGTGGGATAAACTGCATTTGTTTAGTTTGGTTTGGTTTTGGTTTACGAAACGTAATGGTTGTGGGAACATTTTTATTTGTTTTTTGCATCTTCCATAACATGATGTATGTGACAGGCTTTTGAAACCATGACCGATGGTCTAGGAAAGTCCGCATCCGCTTTAGTCCAAACTCCCCTTAAAAAGTACCAGCGTGGGGCTGGTGTAGGATCAGCATTGGCCACTGCTGTTCAGGCAGCCCCTGGAGCTGCAATTGCTCCTGCGTCTGCTGCTGCTCGAGCTATGCACTCTGCTCTTCTTGGCGTCAGAAATAGGTCAGCGTCTATCCTTCTGTGTTTGTGTATATATATATATATATCCACGTTCATGCTCTACTTCATTTATTACAATAATAACAGGTGAAAGTACAAATGAGAACCATAAATATTTTGAGAACCAATATATGCACATATACCACCATCAAAATACGTATCTGTCAATCAGTATATTCATCAATGTATATACACTGTATGCATTAGTGCATATACTCGCTGAAATTCATATAATGCATATACAGGTTCTCACGGTTTTCAAAATAATCATAGTATTCATGGTTTTCATTTGACCCTTCCCTTACAGTAACAATCCTTTGGTTAATGAAAAATTGAGATCTAAAGCCATATATAACATTACGTGATGATATTCGCAGCCTTGATCCAGAGCACAAGAAAGATTCGATGGATAAATACCTAGGCACAACTCAATCTCGGCCTCTTTAGTTCACATCTCCAACTCCATTAGCAAGAAAGATGAGCAGTAATTTTGCTCGCGGGACCAATTGGGATGTCATGACTCACTGCAAAAGTGCTCTCGTGTGAATTTACTCGAGTGCCCTTGTCTGCGGTGGAGATTGTCCCAGTCATGGTTGGTGCAAAGAGTCATTTATTAGGTTTGATTTGTACATAGATAGGTATGAAATTCAATTTATGGGAAGATGATAGGATTTGAATTTGAATTTGAAACTGAAATGTGTATATATGAAATGGTTGTTAACTATTGTTCTTGAGGTGAGCTTTGTAAAATTGTAATTCTAGTGGGGGTGGTTTTTTTGTAGGTATTATGTGTTCATAATCTGTATTTCCTGAAACCTGAAGTTGTATAAAATTCCACATTATTTTATTGTACACAACTTATGAAGTGAACTCTGTGTACCTCTTTAAGTTTGCATTTGGGACTCTATCGAAGTGTACTTTTCAATTCTACCCTTGACCTTGATTATGAGATGGAGAATCTTTCTATTATCAAGGGTATAATTGTCATTTTGTTAATTATATATTGTGTGTGATTTTGTCATTGTTGGTTTCTGTTGTGGACATTTATTTTGGGACAGAGGATCGTTGGTTTCAAGAAACTGAAACAATTTTTCTCCAATTTGTTGAGGAATGTTTCATTAGATCAATATCTAGTAATGGTCCATTCTATTACAATCGCAAGTTTTCGGTATTCTAGTCAATGAACATATCTTGTAAGGAGTTCATGACTTTTAACCTGATCTTTCTATAAAACAAGTAGTAACGTAACAAATACCATTTGTCAACCCTACATTAGGATGAAACTGTTTGTAACATTGAACAAATCGGTTTCTAACTGTGACTGTTTATACCTTTAGGATAATTGGTTTCTAATTGCGACTGTTTATACCCTTGGGTTATCTATTGATCCATACAATCCTTGATCTGATTCATGATAATTTTATTGTCGTTGCCTCTTACACTCCAAATTTGACAACTATTCGTAATAATACTTTTACTGTGGATATATTGTTTCAAAACAAAAAGAGTTGTATATTGACAATAGAAAAAGAAGATGAAAATCACAAGGGTGGTGCCTGATTGGTTTGAACTTGGCTCCAAAGGTCAAAAGTACCAGGAGGTCCCATGTTCAAATCCAAGGAGGAATAAAAATCCCCTTGTGGCTACGGAGGTTCAAATGCGGTGACTTCGGGCTATCTGCAATGCAGGTGGTCGTCCTGGGATTAGTTGGCTCGCATAGCAGGTTGGATCCAGGTTAATAAAAATAAAAGATGAACAATTTTTATAATAGAAACCACAAAATGTTGCAATCGTTAAGAGAAGTATTGGTTGGTGCCCTTAAGAAAAAGGTTTTGGATTTGATTCAGAAGTGCATTTCAGTCGTTAATCCAAGTCCCACAAGATCAAAATTGTATAAAAATGATTGTTTTGGGCTAATAATGGCAATGAAAGAAAGTTCGTGGACTAAACCTTAAATGACAAATAGTACAGGGATGATTCTTGTAGTTTTATACCCGACCCATTTAGTGGTCCGTGCCTCCGTGGGCGTGAGCCCAAGTTGTTCTAATTCAATTTCGTCTCTCTCCTTCAGAGCATTCTTCACGTTAGGGTTTAACGAGTGAACTCAAAAGCCACAACAATGGCGTCTCTAATGGCGATACGCAGAGCCAGTCTTGCTTCTTCATTCAAGGTAACTTCTTTACGCTCTCCTGATTCCATTTTCAACCGTAACACTCTTAGAGCTCTCACCACATCGGCAGCCCCAAATAGCTTTGATTTACCCCCGAAAGATCAGACCAACCCTAACCAATGGAACCTACAACACAATCATCAACAAGGGAACCTAAATCAGTGGGATAACCGGAATCAGGGATACCCGCAACGTGATAACCCACAGAATTATCCACCAAATGCTGCGCAACAAAACTATCACCAGGAGAACCCTAATCAGCGTCAGAATTATCCCCCAAATGCAGGTCAACAAAACTATCACCAGGAGAACCCTAATCAGCGNGAACCCTAATCAGCGTCAGAATTATCCCCCAAATGCAGGTCAACAAAACTATCACCAGGAGAACCCTAATCAGCGTCAGAATTATCCCCCAAATGTGGGTCAGCAAAACTATCACCAGGAGTACCCTAATCAGCGTCAGAATTACCCCTTAAATGCGGGGCAGCAAAACCTTTATCAGGAGAACCCTAATCAGCGTCAAAATTATCCCCCAAATGCAGGGAGGCAAAACTTTTACCCGACGAACCCTAATCAGCGTCAGAATTATCCCCCACAAGCCCCGATTCAGAGACCAAATTTTCAGCAACAGCACCCTTCTAGTTATTCGCCCCAGAACCCTATTCCTAGTGAACCCCATTCACGCCAAAACCCTAGTGATTTGAGTGTGCGTGCTACTAATCATGCTTCCGGTGTGAAAGCTGATTTGTTGAGCATATGCAAGGAGGGGAAGCTTAAGGAAGCCATTGATTTGATGGGCCAGGGTGAACTTGCAGATGCAGAGTGCTTTAGTGCTCTATTTGGGTTATGTGGGAAATCCAAGAAGCTTGAGGAAGCTAAGAAAGTGCATGATTACTTCTTGAGATCAAGTTATAGGGGTGATATTCAATTGAATCACAAGATAATCGATATGTATAGCAAGTGTGGAAGTATGGTAGATGCTAAAAGAGTGTTCGATCATATGCCTGAAAGAAGTATGGAAACTTGGCATTTGATGATAAATGGGTATGCGGCAAATGGTTTAGGAGATGATGGGTTGGAAATGTTTGAGCAGATGAGGAACCTCGGTTTGCAGCCAAATGAAGAAACCTTTCTTGCTGTTTTAGAATCTTGTGCTGGTGCTGACGCCATTGAAGAAGGGTTTATACATTTTGAAGCAATGCAGAATGAGTACGGAATCTCTCCCAAAATCGAACACTATTTGGGGCTTTTATCTGTTTTTGGGAAACCTGGACACCTTGCTCAAGCTTTGGAGTACATTGAGAAACTTCCATTCGAACCCACATCAGAAGTATGGGAAGCTTTAATGAACTACGCCCGAATCCATGGCGACATTGATCTCGAGGACAGGGCAGAGGAGATCCTGATTGGTCTTGATCCATCAAAAGCGGACCCCAAGAAAATCCCGACACCACTTCCTAAGAAATTCACCGCCATCAACATGCTGGAGGGTAAAAACAGGGTGGATGAGTTTCGGAACCCTACGCTCTACAAAGATGAAGAAAAGATTAGGGCTGCAACGAAGGAACAAAGCTATGTACCGGATACCAGATTCGTTCTTCATGACATTGATCAAGAAGCTAAAGAACAGGCATTGCTCTATCATAGTGAACGGTTAGCAATTGCATATGGGCTGATATCGACTCCAGCAAGAACACCGCTGAGGATCATAAAGAATCTTCGTGTTTGTGGGGACTGTCACAACGCCATCAAGATTATGTCGAGGATTGTGGGTCGGGAACTAATCGTGAGAGATAATAAAAGGTTTCATCATTTCAAAGATGGAAAATGTTCTTGTGGGGATTACTGGTGAAAGGTGGAAACATATTTGAAAGTGATCTACTACTACTACTACTATTACTAATAACACCAGGTTCTTCTTGTGGGTTTGGTGTTAAGATCATATATGTGGTTATGGTAGGAAAGAAAGAATGGTTCTTGGAGAGATAATGGGAATGGGTTGGTATTATTGTGGGTATAATAGGGATGTCCATCTACATCTACATCTACATCTACATCTACTGCATACACTTGATCAATGTCAATGGTTAATTTTGTTCAATAACCTACATGATGCTGGACTCAGTAACCAACTTTGTATTTGATTGGCTATATCTATTAAGTTAGTGATATCATTTATGTTCTTTTCACCAAGTTTTGGATATAAAAAGTTAATTTAGGTGGTCTTATGGAAGTTGCCAAATTAACCAAATTCCATTCAGCCATTTGACATCATAACACACATCAAGATCAAAACCCTATTAACTTTATTCTTGTCATCATAAGTTTTGTATCACTATGTTTTCTACATAATCTGAAGGTAACCCAGGTCTTTTCTTCTTCATGTTTTACAATAAATAAGCCGAAGATGAATAATGAATCAAGAATATGCAGAATCAAGAAGCCCAAGGTGATTTTCCATTATCCAGATCCTCCATTACATCGATATCTTTGCGTGCTGTGATCTTCTGGACGTAACCTGTAATCCACATTCATAATGTTTCGATTAAACTAAGATTAGATGTTATCAAGATTTCTCAATTGTGACTACAAAAGGAACAGAGGATACTTTTTCATCAAAAAAACTAGTACATTACGCACAACACATTTAAAGATCACAATCTACACCTTTCTTATTTACAATTCAGACTCCATTGTTTCTCTTTACTACTTGCCTGCCTATACATAAACCACCTGATGCCAACCCCAAGATGACACACTGAAAATGCTATCTAGGTTACAGACCCCATGCTGGAAACCCTTTGAAGACAAGGCCAAATACAGTTGCTTCTTATTTGTTTGGAGAAATTCAACAGCAGGCGTATCTCATCACTGGTATTTTTAATAGTTATATTACAACACGGGTTCAAATCATGGATGAGTTGCAACCAAAGGGTCATTGGTCCTGCATTACCTGGGTTACACACATTTCCCTCTATATATATCATATGCTTCAAAAATAAGTGGTTGGGTTGCACTTGAAAGGGATGGAAGGAAGAACACAAGAACTTTGAAGGGTTTGTAAGAAAGGCCCTGTTTGTATTACTTGAAAGTTTATTGGATGGCTTAGAAATGAGATGACTCACTTATTTTAGAGTCTTGGAACATCCTAGACTACAACACTCTAGATACAAGAGCGGCATACAATCTACAAAAGGTCCTACCTTCTACAAGTCTCAAGACCACACTAGATCATTTAGACAATATTACTCGGATCATGAAAATGTTGGAACATCTTTAAGAATGCTGCAAGTCCCTAGACAATGTGCCACTTCAAGTGTTTTTCCCAAGATACGTATGGAAGATGATGACAACTAAAAAGCTTGAATATTTTGAAGATGTAAGATCTCTACTTTAACTCAAACTATTCACTACCAAGGTCATACAAAGCTCTCCAATTTTTCAAGAATTTGAACATAGGAAGAGAAACTTTTTCTTCCAAGAATTCTATATTATATGCTCTAGACCTATTTTATAGAATTTCTAGATTCACTGCCTGTGGTATGAAGCCAATACTATGTTCATTGGAGCATAAGCTTTTATCATAGAACAATACTGAAGAAATAAATTAGAATAGCAACAACATTATACCTATCCCTTGGCATGGTATGCACTTGCAGGCAACTTCCTTTCCCCTTTTGTTGTAATAACTGACGTATCCTGATCCTTGACAACTCCGACATTTTCCGGTCCATTCATAAACTACTTCGTTACAATCCTATATAAAAAGTTGCGCAAAATTAGTACCAAGCGAAGCTTCACACACACACACACACACACACACTTGTTATCTTTTCCACCAACAGTTAGTCAAACCTAAGCAAGCTCCAACCATTTGGAATGCCAATTTGATGCTGACTTGGTTACATGTTTAACAAAATTATTCTATTTGTATTGCTCCCTCCATCCTAAAAGATGAGTTTTGCTTCTTTCATATCAAACAGATTACTTCTGAAATTCAGGAAGGCCATGAATTCTAAAGCTATACAACTACTGATGATAACCATGTTAAACTCTAACTACACTTTCAACAAATAAAGTGTTGGTCAAAGATTAGTCACAAAACCTAAACGAGTGAATACCATTTAATAACCATTGTATTTGGCTCGGATTGTCAACCAACTATTATATTTTCAAGAATTACAAAAAGCAAAACATTGTAGTCAGCAAGAAAGAATGCAAGAAAACGAAGAAAAATCAACAAGTATGATCACCATTTTGGAGCATTCTTATCCAATACAGTGATTTTCCCTTTTCATATTTAGAAAGCAAAATAGTTGGTTAACATGTCAAGCAAACCACAACAATTATAAATGCTATTTAGTCACATCTGCCTATCATTGTTATGCCAAAAGTAATAAGTTAGTAAATTCAAAAGTATCTTTACGCTAGAAAGGAGATATGACTTGTTATGAAGTTAAATATAGTAGCAATCTTTTAGCACAAAGTTTAAATCCCATAACTGTGTTGGATTTGAAAATCAAGGGATTTGACATCAATAATCAAAAAGTAGCTCTTTGATTGGGATACCAATGGAAGAACCATCTAACAGAATCATAGAGAAAGGTATGGATACACAAAAATGGCACAATTCTTGTCCATATCAAGTATCATCAAATGCAACAACATGGTTGAGAATAGAAGCTTAACATCTTATCAGAAACACAAACCAAACCTCAATCATAGGATCGCACCGTAACCTCCGATCGATCACATCAGGAGACACAGGTGACGTATCAGGATATGTCATCGGGAGCGGCAGAGGATCATCATCATCAGTCAAGTAACTCTCACGGTCACGCGACCATCTCTCCTTTGCATTAACCTTGGTAGTATTGGTATTGTTATCGTTACCAAAGTTACGAGTACGCTTCTTCTCCACGGCCGCCGGAGCACCAACGGAGCCGTTGCCGTTGAGTTTTCCAGAAGCGGAGTCAGCTACGGCGGAATAAGTGAACGACCAATTGAGGTTATCGGAGGCAGCGCGGGTGCGGAGGAGGGTAGCGGGAGGTGTTAGGTAGGGAAGAGCAAATAATGGGGGTTTGGTGAAGATGGAATTGGGGTTTATCGGCAACATCCAATTAGATAATGAGATGCAAGCAAGCATGTAATGGAAATGGTGGTTTGTGTGATTGATTAGGCTGAGCGGGAGAAGATTGGACGGCTGAGCAGTGGCCAACGTGGCGGAGAGAAGCGGTGGTGGTGGCGGCGTCGGTGAAGGACCCGGATAGCGAAATGAAGCGGGTTATATTGGAAGGAAAAACATGATCCGAATTGGGATAAAAACCTCCGGTTTGACGCACATTAAAAACCTTTAATCGCTATATTTTTTAAATATATATAATATTATTTGTAAATTTCAATAATCAGTCGTTGTTTCAATTTATTTATATCCTTGGTTGTTATCTTTATTTATGTCTATATTATCTATACTATCTTATAAATTATTTGACTAAAACTCTTAAAAACTCTTAAAATTCTTAAACTCTTCCTATATCTAAATTCGTGTAACTAACTGCAGATAAAACAATCAAATACAGGATAAACATCTCATTTTAAATATAAAAAATTTAAAATATAATCATTAAATTCTAACAGAATACTTATTATTATCTTTGTAAAATTTATAATATTAAACCAAAAATAAATTATTTTATTATTAAACTTAAATTAAATTATATATAAAAAAAATATTCTATATTATAAATCATTTGACAAAAACTCTTAAAAACCAATTTTTATGCGTAAAGTACTGTTTATTAATGCATATTACTTAAAACTCAAGATTACAAGTAAATTGTGCGTAGGTACAACTTATTAAAGCTTCATATATGAATTCGTGTAATTAACTGCAGATAAACACAATCAAATACAGGATAAACATCTTATTTTAAATATAAAAAATCTAAAATATAATTAGGATAATCATTGAGTTCTAAGAGAATACTTAATTATTATCTTTATAAAATGTT